TTTTCATTTTTTTTTTTAAGGATAATGTTGGTGTCTGTGTTTTTCCGATAGCTGCAGGCTGTTTAACTCGTCCCATACAGACTTTTACCAGCATCTATCTTTTTTGTCTTTTTTTGTCTTTTTTTTGTCTTTTTTTTTGTCTTTTTTTGGGGGGGTTAGGGTTTTTTGTCTTTTTTTTGTCTTTTTTCGTCATTTTTCGTCATTTTTCGTCATTTTTCGTCATTTTTCGTCTTTTTTTTTAAGGATAATGTTGGTGTCTATGTTTTTCTGATAGCTGCAGGCTGTTTGACACGTCCCATGCAGACTTTTACCAGCATCTGGTGAAAATAGTCTATTTTTGTAACAACCCTGATTCACTGGGTTGCAACATTAAAACAGAAACTATGTTTTTTGTTTTTTACTTTTTTTTTGTCTTTTTTTTGTCTTTTTTTGTCTTTTTTTGTCTTTTTTTTAAGGACAATGTTGGTGTCTGTGTTTTTCTGACAGCTTCAGGTTGTTTAACACGTCCCATCAGACTTTTACCAGCATCTGGTAAAAATTGTTCATTTTTGTAACAACCTGTCTCACCGGGTTGCAACATAAAACAGAAACTAGGTTTTTTTACTTTTTTTCTTCTTTTTTTTTAAGGATAATGTTGGTGTCTGTGTTTTTCTGACAGCTGCAGGCTGTTTAACACGTCCCACGCAGACTTTTACCAGCATCTAATAGCAGGGACCTGCAGCTACCTGCAGCCTCTTTTACACATGCAACAGTTAGTTTAGATTTTAAAAACCTGCAGAGAACACAGTCTGATCAAATGTGTGGACAAACGTTTGTCACCCACCCTTTAAAAAAGGCAAGCTTACGAAAACTAAATCCATTCCTGACACGTTGTCCGGTTACTTATGCAACCTCTTTTTGGCAGATCCGACATGAGGATGGGGAAATGTGAATCTCTAATCGAGGACTCATTGATGCATAATGATGTTAGCAGACCCAGCAGCAAGTCTCATAATTACATTCTTACTTTTTAGAAACGAAATCTCTCGCTGCAGACGTTCCAAACTGCTGATGCGGACAACGAGATTCACGAGCTTAATAAGAAAAAACTGCAGAAGGGCCCCGACGGCCAGAGCAAAGCGTCTCTCTACTGGGTTTTTACAACCAGCAAACTAATATGCAGAAAGATTAATCCGATGTATTTCTTTTTAGCGGTCCGTCCGCTGAGGCCTTTGGGAGCATAGACTATGTTTGAATATTGACCGGGAGATTCAGGCATTCCCAGGGAACGTTGTGCCGGAGGATAAATGGAGGCGGAACCGCCCTGTTTTAATCTGGAAGGGATAAGAAGATTCCCACACGCTCCACGGAGCGCGTCTTTTTCAGAGACAGAGGCAAAGCTGATGGGATTTCCACGTTTTTTAGCGTCTTACAAAGAAAGATGGAGGCTGGCTGGGGGGAAACGTGACACCCGAAGGTGGTTGTTTGAGGTTGAAGTTCAACTCACGTGCAAACGGGTCCACGTTTTTCCACCACGCAGGATCCCCGAGCCAGGCAGAACCCCGGGGGACACTCTGCCCAAAAACAACAAACAAAGAGACAGGAAAAAGTGATTAGATTCCATTTTTCGGAATATGAAAACAGTGATATAAGCTGCTGTGTGAAATGGAGCAGATAGATAGATAGATAGATAGATAGATAGATAGATAGATAGATAGATAGATAGATAGATAGATAGATAGATAGATAGATAGATAGATAGATAGATAGATAGATAGATAGATGGACAGATAGATGTTTTTATTTGGCTGCATTTTTCGGAGTTGGCTGAATGAGCAGCTACCTGTAGATTTGACATAGCTTAATGGGTCAGAAACTACACGTTGTTTTGCAATGGAATTGTGATTTAAAAAAAATATATATTTAAAATTATTTCTTCGATTTTTTTAAAATTATATTTTAAATTATTTTTAAATTATTTTTTAAATTATTTTTTAAATTATGTTTTTTAATTAATTAATTTGTTAATTCTTATTTATTTTATTTTATTTTCTTTTTTTATTATTATTTTTTGCAATGGAATTTATTGCCGGGTCACTGGTTTGCGCACCACGTTTCTCTTCAAATTTTCACACATGTGGGTTTTTTTTTCCCCGACGGTATAAAAAGTGCCCGCTCTTTCACATGTCAGAACTCAGGACTCTACTCCGCTGCACTCGCTGCTCCTCTGACTGAAGAAACGGGTCTCACTTTCTTCAATTGCATGATTAAATTCACTGCTGTGCTGCAGAATGAGCTGAGACTGGCTGGCATTTTTTTTCCTCCAGGCCCGCACATCTGATGATGTCTGAACTCCCCCTCTGTGGGGCACTTGTGGGGTTATTAAGTTTGCCTGTCAGAGGGGGATTTTTTGATGAGAACTCCAGTCATGTTCAGCCGCCGGCTGGGCGTCTCGTTTCGCAGCGAAATGGGAAGTTTGAAGCCGCTGGATATTGGCAGGTTGAAGTGACTTGGGAGGTTTGCTTTGTAGGCTAAACAACCAGACTTGAAAACATAAATAATAACATCCACATGCAGAGTTTTGACAGCTCTCTCAAATCCGAAGTGACAAATGTCTTATGAGCACATAAAAGCAGTCTGGAGAACAAAGTCCATTGCAAATCAAATGTGACATATGCAAAAAAAACAAAAAAAAACCTCCCATTTCTTTTTATACGAGATGGCGTATATGTGAGGTAAATGTCAAAATGATTGAAAACAAACCTCTAAAGAAGCTGATAAGGCATGCAAATGTAGAGGCAGGCATTTTCGGGCAGAAATTGATTTACTGCATTTTCGAGGGTTGACATAAATGAATCAAACAGGCGAGAAAACGTCAAAAAGGCGTCACCGTGGCAGCTGGACTCGTCCGAGAGGAAGGGCAGGCAGTCGGGAGTCTGGTCGCAGCGCCTCTGAGCTGGGATGCAGCCGGGAGGGCTCTCACACACCAGTTCTCCCAGTTCACACTGCAGCAGAGCTGAGGACAGAGGGGAAAAAAAACAGAAAGGTGAGGCCGAGTTCTCAGATCACAACCAAAGACACATCAAAGGTATCGGATACGTGCTTTCAGGACTCCGAACTTTGTCTGAGAAGCAATCTTTGTTGGCTTTTTCTCCCTGCCAACGCTACACAGCAGGATCACAAAGCTGCTGGTTCCAATCCCCTAACCCAGGGGTGTCAAACTCTGGTCCGCGGGCCAGATTTGGGCCGCGTTGTAATTATATTTGGCCCGCGAGACAATACCAAATGACTACGAGAGCTGGTATTATACTGTACAGAGCATTAACCGCTCGTACTACAACTCCCATAATGCCCTGCTGCTGTTCAGGACAGGACCCAGAAACTCCTCTGTGACAGTAGGTATTTCATTTAATTTTCATTTAATTTCATTTATTTTGAAACATGATATGATTTAACAATGTTTACATTGAATGCTTCATAAACATGCATCATGTTTCAAAAAGACAAACAGTATACCAACTTTGTATATATTACTCTTTGTTGTATTCATCAAAAATATTTTTCTTATATTCTTTTTTGAATTGCTGGATGCTTTTACATTGTTTAATGTTTTCAGGAAAGCTGATCCAGAGCTTCACTCTAACGCTAATTGATAACCTAAAGCTTCTTTTTGTTGTTCGAACATTTTCATAGTTTTGAAATGTAATTTTCCTCTTAGATTATATTTTCCATCTCTATCAGAAAACACTTGTTGTATGTGCGCAGGAAGTAAGTTATTTCTTGCTTTATAAAGGTATTCACTAAAGCTGTGACTATTTCCCAAAAATGACCAAAAGAAAGGCAAAAAAACGGAGCTTTCTGGACAAGCTAATTTAATTTTGATATTTAATTCAGAAGGGTGCGAATAAAAAAATGTTTTAAAATCTTATTTTGTAAATGAATGCCATCGATGTGTTTTTTTATTTGAAATTTGATTTTGCATGTCTCCACTATTAAGTATACATAATGTAATAAGAGTTGCTTGTCCCATATTCAATGTTAAAGCAAAATTTGTTTTGTTCCAAATTAAAAGCTTCATTTGTTTGATCTTGGCCCGTGGCAAAAGAGAGCCAACGCAGCTGATGGGGAAGCTGTGTATGGGTGGAACTGAGGGAGATTCAAACAGGATGTTTAAAAACAAGGATGCTAATAGAAGGACCCTGAACTGAGCTTCAAGTCCGCCCGCAGAGTCGCTGACTCATCAAATAGGAATCCAAACCTCGGAATCTGGGAGATTCTTCAGCCCACAGCGGATTCTTCAGTCCTAACAGCCCACGATGTGAAAATCCTGGAGGATTTGTTTGGCCTATCTTCACACTGTGATTTGCTCTTTGCTCTTTGGATTTAATAAAAGTTGCCTTCAGCTGCTGGTCTAAGCTAGCCTACTCTCATGTGGACAAACGTCTCCATCTTCTGTGGAGTGCTCCAGGTGGTCATGAACCACAGATACCAGAGAGTTTACGTCTTATAGATGCTAAATCTTTTCACAAACCGTATAAATATGAGCCGCTGGTTGAACCGTCACAGATTACTGATTGTTTTATTTTCTTTTAAAACTATATTCTCTTTTCTTTTCTCTCTTTTTGTATTAGACACATGTATTTAGGTCGACACAAACACACACTATTTGTTACCACATTCCAACGTTATCTGCATGAATTAGGACCTGGCCTGTTCCTGCCCAGAGGTAACTGGCCAATAGGACTTGGTTGTGTCCAGTCCTCCTTTGAGGAGGCGGATGGAGCCCAGGAGATAATGCCCATCACCCAGATCTCAGGGCTCTTTGCCCACTGAGACCCAGAGAGAGTTTGCCTGTGACCCAACAAATGTAATTTTTTTATACTTTTGATCTACTCTGGTTTATTCTCAGGTTTCCAACTACAGAATCGGGTTAACAAAATCCTACTAAAGATGTCAGACCTTCTCGGTGAAGTCCAGTCTGTTCCTTTAAACCATTTCCATGCCAACGGGACAAGATAACTAACTCACGGCAGCCGTGCTCGTCCTCTCCCTCGGGGCAGTCGGGAACTCCGTCACAGCGCAGAATGGCCGGTAGGCAGCGGTGGTCCGAGCACCGGAAGAACCCGCCCGGACACCCGCCCTGCGGGGGCAGAGTCCCCGGCATGGCCGAGGGGCATCGCTCCTCATCGGACAGGTCTCCGCAGTCCGGTTCCCCATCGCACCACCAGCTGCCCGGGATGCACTGGAACGAGTACAGGCACTGGAACTGGTCCACGGCGCAGGTCGGGGGCTGGGGGGTCACCGGTCCTGCACAGGTGCACACAGACACACTGTTACCCCGGTTACCTCTGGCTGCCCGTTCTCAGCTCAGGAACTAGGACCCCTATGATCTCTGGTTGTTAACTCATTGACTGCCAAAGACGTCTATAGACGTCTTTTATGTTTTTCAACGCGAGTGACTGGGGGACGATCTGCTAAAGCTTGTCCGTAAATATCGGCTTCCAGACAGAGTATGTAGTAACAAATTTACCCTCTAGGTATAGGTGCCACTTTTGATGGGAGATGAGCATAGACTGTAGGCAAATAAGAAAAAGGTAACGGTTCGCTATGAGAGAACATGTCGCCGGTGAGACGCAAGTTGAGGAAGAACAGAATAAGGTAGAAACTAATTTTTTCCTGATGAAAGAAGAGAGTCTACTCTTTCTTTTGGTGTGTTCAGTGTTTACATAGTCATAGCACAAACTATTCTGTGGCTCTTGAAAAATCAGTCAAAATGCTCCAAAAACTCTGGCAGTATGGGACTCTCTGATCTGAAAATGGCTGGCAGTCAATGAGTTAAATAGGTTTGCCTGAATACAAGATTTAGATATGACTTATCAATGTGTTCCTGGGCAGGTAATGAAAAGTGCTTGGAACATGCTCTTGTTCTGATGCCAGTTGGTTTTCAGCCTTTATCCAGTCTCACGCAGAAGGGCTGGTCATATCTCAGGTTATTTGCATTACAATAGGGACAGTTAGCAAGGTAGAGTGAACACACAAACTCAAAGAGGGGAGGGGGGGCTTGCAGGAATTTGCTTGGACTTCTAGTGTCAAACACAAAGCTGGGCAGGCTTCATCCCCCCTGACCGGGGATGGGAATCCTTCACTGAGGAGTCTCACGGGGATTGTTTTAGGATGTGTTTTTGAGACCACGAATTCCGCCTCAGTCAGCCGGAGCGGGAGCTCAAGGGTAGAACGGGAGGAGAGGGTGCGGGGGGGGAATAACACGATATGAATGTAATTGCTTTTCCTCCCCATTGCCCTCGGTGTTGTCCCTCGGTGTTGACCCAGTCTCCACAGTAAATTTATACAGACCTATAGGGCAACAGGCTCCATTAACTGGCAACAGCCTCCCCCCAGAGTCCCGCTATTTCTATGGAAACTGAGTTGAGGAGAAGGGGGTGATGGAATAAGAAAAGGTGGAAAACAAGGTGAAAAGTGGAGGAAATCACTTGAGAAAAACTGAGTTTTACCCCCGGTTGTGCACTCGGCGGTGTACGAGACGTCGTCCAGAGCGATGTCCGTCCACATGTCCCCGCCCACCTCGGCCTGGAAGGTCACTCTGAAAGGGCTCGCGTTGGACAGGACCACGTTGGCGTACGCCCACCCGTTGCCATGGTTACCAGTGGCTGACCACATCAGCAGAGGGGAACCGCTGGATCCCACAGAGTAGACCTGACGGGTTTAAGGAACACCTGGAGTTACAGAAGACGGTTCCTTCCTGGAAGAAACTCGCTCGAAGGCAACGTTTTGATCAAATTTAGAGACTTTAAAAAGTCGTGAGGTCATAAAATCTTCAGTCTCTTTACTTCTTTACTTTGTTTCAGACCAAGTTACTCCCAACTTCAGTCATTAGTAAGGCTGCATCCCAAAGGTTATCTGTTATTCCTTGTCAGTTTCTCTTTGTGTTTCCCAGATATTCATCCTCCTTTTTGTTTCAAACCTCATTTTAAATCTATCTGGGTCGTGCTCGTAAACAATTAAGGAATTGATTACAATCTGCAGTTGTAACAATCCTCCCTTCTTGAGAGTGTTTCTTTATCTGATAGCTGACTCAGGATGAAGGGGGGGGGACGCATTGAACTGTTAAACAAAGAGTCCGGCCTCTTCATCTGTCAGACACATGTTTGAGTCTCAGCCAGTTCTGACTGTCACAACAAGCACTTCTGGTACTCGAGTGTTATCAGATGGTTAGAAAAAGAAATCAAAACTATTCGGTTCAGGAACTGAAGCATCCCGGTCATATATGATCATATATATACGATCTGTGTGGGTCATTTTCAGCTAGAGCTACAACACATCTCTTAGTGCTTTCTTGATTTTCATTGATCTATTTCTTAATCATTTGCTTGTTGTTGTTTTTAAATTAACCCAGCTTCCTAAAATAAGACATAAAAGG